CCCCTGAACTGCAGATAACAGTCAGCTGAAGTGGCCTGCAGTACTGCACCCTAACCACTGCGCCACCTCGGCTCTTAATCAGGCTCTTCAGCAGAGCCTGATTAGCACAAGCAGCTGATTGTCAGAGCGGCCTCCTAACCATCAGCTGTTTCAGGCTTCAGGGATTGCCATTGCCTATTGCTGCCTCCGTGTGCCTCATTTTCAGCTTCCGCACCCCATTTTTTGTCTCTGCGCCCCCATTTTCCACCTCCATGCGCCCCATTTTCTGTCCATTCCGATCCCCGAAAATGGGGTGGAGGCGGGGGCAGAAAATGGGATGCGGAGTCCAAAAATGGGACCCGAAGAGGTGGCTATAGGCTATGGCAATCCCTGCAGCCTGAAACAGCTGATCATGGGGTCGAAAATCAGCTGCTTGGGCTAATCAGGCTGTACTAAAACTGAAACAGGCTGTTTGCTGCAAATTGCTGGGAGACAGAGATAGATTTTTTTCTTCTTCTTTTCCTCCCCAAAAGCTAGGTGTGTCTTATACTTCCGGAATGTGTTATACTCTGAAAAATACAGTATCTGCTGCCCTTCTCTCAGCCATTCAAACCTAGTTGTCCTTGCTCTTTTGCCGGGAAAAAAAACAGAAAAAAATGATGTGTCCTACTGCTGAACTGCTGGATTTATTTATTTTTTTAGTAATTCCATTATTCAGAGGTGTTCCCCCCCCCGCCCCCCAGTTTGATCAATCTCTCTGCAGACTGCTCCCAAACTGCCCCGAGGCCCTTTAATCTAGTATTATTTTCATGAGATGTCCCAACCTGCTTCTGTAAGTGAAATACAGCCATTTTGCCTTAGGAGAACAACCTGTGAATTGGAGTGGTGTCATTTTAACCCTTCCCCTCCCTTGGTTTTAGAAGTCCAAATTGCATTTGGTAATTATTTTCTTTAGTATGGAGCGTCTTTCAAATATCCGGACACTTACTTTCTTTCTCTCTTTCTTTCTTTCTTTCTCTTTCTCTCTCTCCCCCTCTCTTTCTCTTTCTTTCTTTCTTTTTCTTTCTTTCTTTCATAGCCCTTTGGGAAAAGAAGAAGAGGGTGTTCAGCATTTTTAAAAAGTGCTGAAATGTGACATCTCTTCTGGGGGCCTGGAGCAGCCCGGCTGTCTGGTTCTGTCGTGTTCCAGCTGGAGGTTTTCATTATATTGC